AGGTCGTTTAGAGAACTATACAATGGGGAAACTGTTTGGGGTCGTTCTTAATTAGCCTCGAATCCATCTTCTTTGTCGGTTTCAAAACACGTTTCTATATATTCATTGGACTATTCAGTTTCGTTTTTTAAGCCCTCGTGCTTTCGAATCGAGACCGTTCTAGATTTGTGCGGAAATCCTTTCGATCGCATCACGGGTTTATCTTTCGTTAGGTTAAACAATCACATCTACGGATCGCTCTTTAGGGTTTTGACTCGAATCTTACCTGATCGACAAGATTGCTAAGGCATTCCCCAAGTTTTGAGATTCACCTAACCAGGAAAGGCTTCCTTGATACAGAAGAAAGAACCTTACAAAATGCATGGGAACCGGAAAAAATTGAGACTTTTGAGCGTTTATATGTATTAGTTGCAATTGGAGACTAGGAAAAAGTTTCTGCGGTCCTGCCTTGATGGACGGTTTGCAAAGTATATGTTACCTGCATCCGCTGACGACTATTATTTAATTTTGGACTACTTATATAATGTCACGCTTTGATCGTTGACCACTTTATACAACATTTTCCCATCTCATTTTTCATTACTTTTTCCCCTTCAACAAATACCGTAAATTCATCGAAAAATCGAATATTTTCCAAGTAATATTTTACTTTGTCCCCCTTTGTTGCCCCTTCGGCGCACAATCGAATTTTCTATTAGCACTCCATTGAGTTCACGGATTGATTTGGAAGACATTTTTCTAAAAATGATCGCTCGTATCGTTTAGAGAAAAAAAATACTTTCATCGTTCACAAAAATGTTTCGAGCGATCATTTTTAGAAAGATGTCATCCAAATCATTCATTTTTCGTGAAACGAGCGGATCTCTAAGATCCGTTCTCGGCGTGCTCACTCAAACCTCAACAAACAAAATACTACTTTATCCTGAGAGTCGCACGCATGGAGCAGGAACCTTTGAATGGAATCAAACTAGGGCTAATTTCACTCCAACACTCCTACCTTTCCTTCCTCTTTCTTTCCTTGTTCCGGCGCCGTTTGCTTTTGGGAATTTTTGAATTGAACATCCGCCATCAAAGCTCCCCCCCTCTGCCCCCGTTTTCTCCTTCGTGTCCACAAATTTCTCAAAGAGACAAATCGGCCCCACGGCCCCCTCCCTTAGAAAAATCCATTTTTTCCACGTCCCCACCTTTGAAAAAGAACACACACGCACACGATCACATCCCCACGTTGTAGCTGGTTCTGTCATACAAGTAAGAGTGGCTCAACCTCTCGATCTGGTCAAGGTCTAGGCCCGTGGGGGTGTTTTCCCATTACGTGCGTACGTTGCTAGGGTTCTGATGTTGAAAGTTTCTCTTCCTATATCGGTCTACGGGGAAGCTCTCCTCGATCCGTGTAATGCTCCGCCAATTGACATTTACTCTCTTCAGATTGGCTGAGTGATTACGACTTATGAGTCACGGGTTTCATGAGGAATCTTGAATACAATAGACCTAAGGTTGAATTGCGGTGTTTCTAATTTAAAGAAACGTGTGACATAGAGTTTACCACCTTATGGGTATAGCTAATTACATGCATGCAATCTTTTTGGATTGATTGAGCCGAAAGGTTTAGGATGCTCAGTATTATTGAAAGAACTTTACCGACAGTACATATCGGATAAGACTAAAGTTTAACCCTGGGACAATGACCCTAATATGATATTGCCAGAATTCGATGGCATGACTCATACCAGTGTCTGTATGCTTTTATCATTGCACAAAAGTCAGTTTCCTTAACCACCAAGCTAAAGCCCATTCGTGTGGAATTGGTGTTGAAATTTCCTTATAAATGGCAAAGTCATGGGATTCTATCCATACCATTAACTTTCTTGTCTTGTTGCACACCTACCTTCTGTCATCTTTCAAAAGCAGCACTTGTTGGAATTAAAGGCTCTAGAGGCAGGAAAAAACAGTCCCTTGATGTTGAGTTCCTGTGTACCGTTTGGTGGGGGAAAGAACAAGGGAGAGTATGAATAGAAAGGGAAATTGAACTGATGTTGCACAATATTGTCATTTGAAGCTCATGGTTCTCTTTCCTTTTCTGTGGGCATGCAAAAAGTCTTCTCTTGATATGTATGGAAATTTCCACTGTGGAAATCTATAGCTTATTGAAAAATCAAGCCCCTCAGGAAATATCTGAGCAAATTAGGTCATACAAGGTAAAATTTGGGAAAACGATCCACGCAAATTTGACTATTGGCTAGCCATGATATGTCCACGTTCATGCATTTCAATGGAAATATCTTGCATTGCATGCTCCAAAAAATGGACTTTTATATAGCTAGGTTGGTCTCACTCTACCCTAGCTATATCAAGATAACATATTTATCCACAATGTATGTCATTGAAAATGTAGATTGCCTTTTATTTTATTTTTTCCAAACCGGTATACTTCATGCATCATCAATTTTATCCGAAGTTCCTAAATTTGTGACACCGTCATTTTATATTATACATATTCCTAATAACCGCAGATGTTGTTTTCTTCGAATCATACAATATAAATAAACAGAATATATATATATGTGTGTGTGTGTGTGTGTGTGTGTGTGTGTAAGGATATTTATTAAAAAAATTACGTACATGAAAGGATTTAGAAGATTCAGTCGATGCTTCGAAAAATTCAAACCTATGTTACCACTATATGGAATATATAATACAATCCTAGGACTTATGGATTTTTCATCCAATATCTATCATCACAAATTCTAAACTTTACCCACTGTAATACCAATACCTTAAGCTATTTTTTTGTCTCAAAATAAAACTCTAAGTTAAGCCCACTGTGATACTAATATTCCAATTTTTTGCTGTATCTCCAAAAACCCTAAAATATGTCCATTGTAACACCAATGCTCCAAACTTTTTTTTTTTATGTCATCAAAATCCCTAAACTTATACCAATATAACAAAAATGCCCTATTCTGACAACAACAACAACAAAAAAAACAGAAATACCCTCAAACCATTCATCTGATGTTAGATCCATGTCAACCTCGTTTGGCTGCTTTCGTCCACGCAAGCCGCCACGTCGAATTTTAACGTTCGTCTTGGACGGAACTATGGCCGAAGGTTTTCATTGGATCACCGGTACAATTCGGGGTGTCACAGTGCGCAAAGTTTAGGGTTCTTAATTGTGGACAGGGAGGGTGTTTTCATCACTCGCGTACAAAATTCGCGGTATCGGTAACATGAGAAAAAAAATGCTCGAGATACCGGTATCGCACCGGACAAATTTTAGGTATTTTGTACGTAGATGGATGGTATTTTTGTCACAATAAGTATGATTTCGCGGTTCTAGCGACACGAAGAAAAATGTAAATTCAAAGCACCGGCGTCACGGTGGGAAGAATTTAGGTTTGTTTTTTTTTCTCGAGGGTATTTACCCACATGAATGTCGTGTTAAAAAGGCTGTTGTTCTCAACTTTCTTTTTCCCCCTTTTTCACCCTTCTTCTTCTTCTTCTTGTTGATTTTTCCGAATAATTTCCTTGTTCTTTTTCATTTTTTGGCCCTTTTTTCCTCTTTCCACGTAAACGCCACGCCAGCTGTTAGAACGAGACGATATTGATTAGAGGGGCGGGGGGGAGCGAAAAAGTCAAACCTGGTAACTCGGTCCAGCCGGTGACCAGTCAACCCGATCGAGGCGGGCGACGTGGTCTCCCCCCCAGCCTCGGAGGGGGTGTGGGGCCAGGCCGTCGACCGGGCCACCGGGCCAGCCGGTCGCCGGGGAGCCGGGCCGTCAATTCCGTTGACTGTTGACTAATCTTCTTCTCCGCCCCGCCCCGCCCCGCCCCGCCCCGCCCCACCCCCGGGACCTTTTCCTTATCTTCTTCTTTTTTTTTTAATAATTTAATGTAAATTTAATTTTCCTTTTTCGTCACGTGGAACGCGCCGCACCGGTCGGGGCGGTGGCGCGAAACACTCTTATTTTTTTTTCCTCAGATTTGCGAACGAGTCAACCTCCTTTCTTGACGAAACTCTTCCGAAACTTCTCTCCCTCTCTCTCTCTCTCTCTCTCTCTCTCTGAAAATCCAAGGGCCACGCTTGCCCCCAGGTTGAAATTTGCCTCCCCCTTTTTTTTATTTTTTTTTTAATAATTGGATATATTTTTCGGTCATATTAATTTCTAGAAATTCCAAGAAATTATTTTCAAGCCGACCACCCTTTATCGTATAAAATAGAATATGAACCCTCCCTTTTATCGTGTAAAATTGGATTCGACGATCATGACGACGCCCAGGTAGGATACGGCTCGAGAGATCGCTCGAGAAGGGAGCCCTCGATTAAAACCGAGCTCCGGGCGAAAAGACCCTCGAAACATCGCGCATAAAATTCCGTAGTTTTTCGCCGGAAATTCGAAGGAAGACAAGGGAAAAAAAAAAAGAAGAAGAGGGGGACGACGACGAGTGCGTTTTCGCTAATTTCTTGCGGTTTCCAAAATCGAGATGCAATTAAATTGAATCTTTTTTTTTTTTGGGGTAGGGGGGGGTTGTAAAGAAATAAAAATTGAAGAAAGGAAAACCCCGCCCAAAGGCTTTAATAGAAAGAAAAAAAAAAGAGAGGCTGCAAAATATTAAGCGTAAAAAAATTGGAGGGAATTTTCATTTAACGGCAGATAATGCACTTGTCAAGCCTGACGCACCACCTGACGTCAGCGCCCCCCCCCCCCGCCCTCTCCCCCCACAAAGATCCCCAAAATCCCTTCTTTCTCTCCCCCAAGAGCAAGTCTTCAACTATAAATAAATGAATAAAACGAGCGAAAACCACACCAATTTTCACATCTTATTTTTTAATTATTATTTTTATTTATTTATTTTCTTCCTACGCCATCGATAATATTTTATCCCGGGTCCTTCGTCCAAACCCTTTTTATAGGCGCACCAGTTGCTTCGGCCAAAGACTTCACACACTTCTCAACAACACACATCTTCCTCTCTCTTCTCTCTCTCTCTACTTTCTCTCTCCTCCCTCCGTCGTCATCGCCACCATCATCATCATCATCTTCCTCCTCGTTCGAGCTCGCCACCACCACCACCTCCTCCTCCTCCTCCTCCTCCTCCTCCTCCTTATTTATGGACAAAGCCGGATGGGGCCTCACCCTCGACTCCTCCTCCCCTGACCCCTCCTCCTTCTTCGCCTCCGCCAAGAAGCCATCCGGCTTCCTCAAGCTCCGCCGCGACCCCCCGCTCCCCGCCGAACCCCCCGGCCCCGCCGCCGCCGCCGCCAGGATGTTCCCCGGCATCGACTTCTCCGCCAGCCTCGGCCGCCGGGACGGCCGCCACGCCTCCCACCTGTCGTCGTCGTCGTCGTCTTCGGCGGCGGCGGCGGCGGCGGCGGGGGCGGACGAGCCCCGGGTCGTCGTCGGCGAGGTCGACTTCTTCTCCGATAGCAAGAGCAGGTCGTCTCACCTTACCGCCGCCGCCGCCGCCGGCGACGAGGCCAACGTCGCCAGCGTGAGCGTCAAGAAGGAGAGCTCTGCTGCAGCCGACGCCATCGGCACGAGGTCCGAGTTGAACGTGAATGTAAGACCTCGAGCTGAATTGTCCTTCCTCTTTTTCCCCTTCTTTTCCTTTTTCGTAGAGACCGGGAGATTAGTAATCTTGGCGTGATTTGCTCGGGTCTACGCAATAACATCTCGGACGGTCCCACGTTGTTCTTCCGTCGCTGAAAATGGTTTCTCATCTTGAATTCTCTGTTGACAGACGGGTCTGCGCCTCCTCACTGCTAATACCGGGAGTGACCAGTCAACGGTGGACGACGGATTCTCATCGGATATCGAGGACAAAAGAGCCAAGAATGAGGTAAAAAAAAACACCTAGTCACGATCAGACCCGCACATGATTGTCCAATTTAGGATCTTAGTTTATGTAGTTAAAACGAGTTTTGATGATCCTTATGTTTTTCTTTGCAGCTGGCGAACCTGCAAGTGGAGCTGCACAGGATGAATGCGGAGAACCAGAGGTTGAGGGAGATGCTTGGCCAAGTCTCGAGCAACTACAGTGCATTGCAGTTGCACCTCTCTTCACTGCTCCACGAGCAGCAGCAGCAGCAGCAACAGCACCTGAACAATGGAGCTGAGCTCCCACAAGATCGTGAGGTAAGTTCAAGTTTCCTGGGATTCGATGGTCATTACGGAAAAAAAAAAAAGTGTTTCTGGGTCTGAATCGTTCCGATGCCATGCGTTCGAAATTGCAGGGCATGATCAAGAAGAATCAAACCGTGGTCCCGAGGCAGTTTCTTGATCTCGGCCCGGTATCGGCCACGGCCGAGGCCGACGAGATCTCGAACTCTTCGTCGGAAGAGAGGACGAGGGATGGTTCGAGGTCGCCGCTGGCGAACATGGAAGCCGCATCGTCGGCTCATAACAACAAAGTGGACCAAGATAGCTCCAGTGCTAGAGATGGCAACAAGAGAGGTATTAGGAATGAGAGTCCTGACGACTCTGAAACTCAAGGTTGGGCTGCCAACAAGGCACCCAAGTTGGAGGCGACGAGGACGAGCATCGAGCAATCCGCAGAAGCCACGATGAGGAAGGCCCGCGTCTCCGTTCGAGCTCGATCCGAGGCTCCCATGGTAATTATTCATCGCTCGCTCGATCTAGTGCGAAACTTTAGTTCGACTCGCTAAACTAGATGAAGATCTCCGTCGTTTCTTCGTCGAGCGATGCTAATTTTGTTTATCACACGATGGTTCAGATTACAGACGGATGCCAGTGGAGGAAATACGGACAGAAGATGGCCAAGGGAAACCCGTGCCCTCGAGCTTACTATCGTTGCACCATGGCTCTCGGTTGCCCCGTTCGCAAACAAGTGAGTTTTAATTTTCCCTCCATCGTCGATTCATGAATCAAAAGAGAAAATTTCGCTACATATATCATAGATATGACTAAATTCATGGTTTGGAAATTATGAATAATTCGAAAGGAAATACAAGAGCTACTAAGACAGATAATTGAAATTGAGGTTTCATGTATAAATGTGTAGGGTTTCATAAAGATCAGTGGCCGGTTCTTTTGATCCAAAAATTGTTATGACTTGAGTGCCTGACTGTAATGAACGAGTGGAGCAAGGGACTAATCCAGAGTCTTGTGCAATGGTTACAGGTTCAACGTTGTGCCGAAGATCGAACGATTCTGATAACGACCTACGAGGGCAACCACAACCACCCGCTCCCGCCAGCTGCGATGGCCATGGCCTCAACCACCACGGCCGCGGTCAGCATGTTGCTCTCGGGGTCAATGTCGAGCGCGGACGGCATCATGAACCCGAACTTGCTGGCGAGGGCAATCCTCCCTTGCTCGTCGAGCATGGCCACGATCTCGGCCTCGGCTCCGTTCCCAACGGTCACGCTGGACCTCACCCACTCCCCGAACCCATTGCAAATCCAAAGACCCCAAACCCAATTCCAAGTCCCCTTCCCTGGCCAACCCCAAAATTTCGGCTCGTTGCCTTCACAATCACTTCCTCAAGCTTTTGGGCAAGCCCTCTACAATCAATCCAAGTTCTCCGGCCTCCAATTGTCTCAAGAAATGGCCAATTCTTCCCAATTAGGTCAACAAGTTGCCTCGCTGCCACAACACTTGCAACAATCACAACAACAACAACCATCTTCTTTGGCCGACACGCTCAGCGCTGCCACGGCCGCCATCACCGCCGACCCCAACTTCACTGCAGCTCTCGCTGCCGCCATCTCCTCCATAATCGGCGGTGCCCACCCCAATAATAGCACCACCACCACCACAACCAGTGCCGGCGCCGCCGCGACTGCTGGCAACAACAACAACACTAACACCAGCACAAGCAACAACAACAACAAGATGAGCAGCTTCCCAGGAAATTAGAGCTGGGTCCATTTCCATTTTCCTACTTACAATTCCTTTGTTTTAGCTAATGTCAATCCTTTTTCTTTTTCCAACTTTCTTTTTTCCTTTCTTGGCCGGATAAGTATTAGATTTACATGTTCATAGGTTTTGGTTCTTATCATGGGGGAGAAGTTACAACACACCATCATTCTTTCCATTGTTTTATGAGAAATAATCTGGATTTCAGCTTTCGGTTCCAATTTCTTATTCAGCAACTCGAGTTCCAACGCTATACACAATGTAGAAAGAGCCTAGCCAGAGAGTTGATTCCATTTGACTTGATGGAGAAGAGAAAACAACTCATACCGAAACTTTCAAGAATCAAAATGAAAAGATCTTTGGCTTGGGAAGATGACAAAAGAAGGGTCTCGATTTCGATTCCGTGTGAGGTTGTCATCGAAGCAGTCAATGAATTCGGCCACCATGGTTGACACGTCAAGTTAGATTAATGGCCAGCCCCGAACACCGGACCTGAAAGCATTTGACTTTCTCGAGACTTCGAGGCAACTACGTGCGCGTGTGATCGTCTTAAATGAATATATAATAGAATAGTCATGCACATCAAGATCAAACCCTTCGGTATATTTAATCATTTTTCAGCAATAATGATAGTAATACGAATAATCACGACAATAAAAGAAAGATAGCGATGAAAAATAATGAGCCTGTAGGTCAGATTCATTTGATGAAGAAAGGTGGCGGAGCGGCAGTCGTTTCGTGCATTGTTACGAGGTGGTGGATATGGGTTGTCGTTCTTGATTGGACGACCTGCGATACGTCGTTGACTTTGCATGCAACAAAGAAATCGATCGACGTCACGCAAAGAAACAGAGTTTTCTTGACAAGACATCGAACGTGGCCTCACACCGTACGTTATCCACCGTACGAGAAATGTGTCTTTTCTTTTTCGCTTTGGTTTCTTTCTTTCCTCTTCGTCTTCTTCCTCTTCGACTTCCCATTGGAGGAGAGGGGCAGATAGCGTTGGTCCGACGACGGTGACGACTTTGATGTGGTCTTCAATGGTGGCAACCGCACATGCTCGCATGTGAGTTCAATGAAGAAGATGCCCGTAAGTTCAGTCCAGCCAGATGGAAGTATTCAACAAGTACGGCTTTTGATTTATTGCCCCATCGAGAAAACGAGGCTGTGTGCTCCTTGGTTTAAGACCAAACGGGCGAATATAAATAATTTCATACTCGGACCGCCGAGCATTTCTTGATTGGCTTTTTCAATTGGTCGTCAAGATTGACTATTAGTTTTTTCACGAGTTTATATAAGATTTACTCGCTTAAGATGAGTATGTTTGTCGTCGAAATCGAGTGTGTCGCGATATATTACAATCAACTCCAAGCAATTTGAAAGTGTTATCGATAGTAGGTTGTTATTAATAGAGCATTAAAATAATATAGAGTGTTTATTAGGGGTCACTACAAAAAAATATGAATTTTGCGACGGAAATTTGCGACGAAAATTTTTCGTCGCTAATTTGTGACAAACTTTGCGACGGATTTCTAATTCCGTCGCAAATTAGCGACGAAAATTTTCCGTCGCAAATTTGCGACGGATCTATTTTCCGTCACAAATTAGCGACGGAAAATAAATCCGTCGCAAATTTGCGACGGAAAATCAATCCGTCGCAAAATTGGTCACAAATTAGCGACGGAAAAATTCCGTCGCAAATTCCGTCACTAATTTGCGACGGAAAATAAATCCGTCGCAAATTTGCGACGAAAAATTTTCGTCGCTAATTCCGTCGCAAATTAGTGACGACTAATTTTCCGTCGCAAATTTGCGACAAATTTTGTGACGGATTTATTTTCCGTCGCTAATTTGTGCAACAAAATTTACCATTTTGCGACGAAAGTAGAGACGAATTGGATGATTGTCACAAGTTCAAATTCAAAAAAGATTGGACGATTTGCTACACGTCCAATTCTAAGAGAGATTAGATATTACAAATTCAAATTAGATAAGAACATCTATTATAAACTCAAGATATTAGATAATCTCTTAAAATGTTCTCGTCCCAAATAAGCTTTTTTAGATTCGATAGGTGCAAATCTTAGCTTCTTCTTTTTTTCAAGACTTAGATATAGATAACGCAGATATCTATTTAGTTGAATATGGCGGTTTCCTTCGCACGTAGCTCTTATGTATGCGTAAATATATGGGTAAATAAATTATAGCAATTTTCAAATAGATCGGAATCGGGTGGATGTATGAAATGTAAAGTCAATGTATCTATATGGGGATATCTATAGGAGATCATATAAAAGAGATATTCTTATTTAGACCTAACCAATTTGATCTAACCAATTAGATGAATTATTTCTAAAGGGTTACATTCGAATGATGAGTGAATAGAGGGCATGCATTCTATTAGAGAAATATTTAGAAGATTCCCTATATTTCGTTTAATTGATTGTAATTGATATTTTCCCTTTTAGATAGTCATCCTATAAAACCGATAAATAGGTTCGTGTACTCTTCATTTGACAATGATATATATATATATATTGCTCTCCGTCGCAAATTTTTGCGACGGAAAAAAAATCCGTCGCAAAACTTTGCGATGGAAAAATAATCCGTCGCAAATTTGCGACGGAAACAAAATCCGTCGCAAATTTTTGCGACGGAAAAAAAAATCCGTCGCAAATTTGCGACGGAAACAAAATCCGTCGCAAAAATTTACGACGAACATAAGGTTCGTCGCAAATTAGCGACGAACTGAAAAGGTTCGTCGCTAAAATTTGCGACGAAATATGAAGTTGGTCACAAATTTAATTAAAAAAAGTGCGCCCTAAAGCCCCGCCCTTACCCCCAATTTCTCTCTCTCTCGCTCACTGTTCTCCCTCTCTCTCCCTCTCTCTCTCTCCCTCTTCTCCCTCCTTAAAAAATGGTGATGGCAGTAGTCATCGTTATGAAATTTCATGTCTTTATTTTTTTCCCATTATTCCAAACTTCAATTTAACATGACTCGAGATTGTTATTTAAGGGTCTTGTTAACTAGTATTTTTTTAGTCATGTTAGAAAAGTTTTATATCGGAGAATGATATGGCGTGGAAAAATTTATATATACATTATTGGTTCACAACTTATTAGCACCAAGGTGGGTTTTAATGGATTGATTGATCGGGATCGGATTCGAGCTTCTTCTTATATCGGGTTTGTTACGGGTTCCTAATAAATGATATTGGAGCCAATTATTGATTGGTCGACTCCCAATATATTCCGATGTTTGGTGTCCCGATGAAGGTGTGTGCTTCATTTACTTTGTTTATTAGCTTATATACCGCTATATACTTTTGCTTTCAGCACCATGCTTGTAACCGCAACCCGAAAAATTGTCTGATGAAATTAATTCCGATTTATTCAATCATTTCTCCAGAAAATTAGCAGAAATTAGAAATGAATTCTCACGTATTTATTGGTCTTTCACTTTCCACATCGGATTTAAATTGGAAATATGGATTATCATCACAAAAAAAGACAAACTAATTTTGTCCTTAATTACCGAAGCATGTGCTGTACCGAATTGCTGCCCTTTGTACAACCGGGGAAGGGCAAATCAGCTTTGACGGGACGGGTCTGGCGCGCGTGGGGCTGTCTTGGCGCGTGAGGATCCGACGGGCTCGTGACACGTGTCGAAACGGAGTGGAGAGTAGCCACGGAATCCATACTCGCGAGATCGGGTATAGCATTTTTTAGTGACAAGCCTCGACGATTGTAAGAGCGGGAAATCGGGGAATTATTCTGGCAGCATATGCTGGTCAGGAATAGTTAATTCCGGTAATGCCACGCGCCCACGCTTGCATGACCTCAACATTTCTTTTTTGCGCTTTTTTTTTTTCAGTATTTTCGGCTTTCACTTTTTCCGTCCCTTTTGGAATATATGAAAAAAAACTCAAGTCAAAAAGTTACAAGAAAAGGATTGTGCACTTTTCTTTTGAACCTTTCTTCATTTTTCATGGTAAAAACGTTTTCAGTATAATATTTTGGGAAAACGGTACAAATAGTCCCTAAATTTTGACCAAACATGTAACGTGATCTCTAAACTTTTAATTTGTTCAATGTCGTTACTGACTGGGACCGAGAAATCGCCGCTCCGGAGGAGGAGGCACGAGGAGGCCTCAGCCGAAGATGACGACGGGGACGACGACGACGACGCCCCCCCCCCCCCGCCGAAAGGGAAGGAGAGCGAGGAGAATCCGAAAGGAGGGAGCTCCGTGGAGAAACAGGGCGTGCCCAAGAGGAGGAGGAAATCGAGCGCGGCGAAGAATAAGCAGAGCTCTCATTTCAGCCTCCAGCCGCACCGTCTCGGCGCGCACATGGACGGCCTCGCTCGAGCAAGCTCTCCACCGTCTCGGCTGCCGCGACCTGCTCACCCCTCAGCTCGTCGCCCGCGTGATCGACCCTTTCCTGATCCCCCACCCCTCGCTCGCCCTCGGCTTCTTCGACTGGGCCTCCCAGCAGCCCGGCTTCGCTCACGACCCCCTCACGTATCGCTCCGTCCTCAAGTCCCTCTCCGCTTCCCGACAGTCCAACGCCGTCGAGGCCCTGTTGAAGCGGGTCAGGGCCCGCGGGATCAGCCTCGACGCCTCGGCATACGGGCACGTCATCGCCTGTTTCGTCAGGAACAAGAGGACCCACGACGGGTTTTTGGTTTTCAGCGAGATTGGTTCGTTAGTTGGGGACGTTGGGCCCGACGTGTGTAACTTGCTTCTGGCTGCCCTCGCGTCTGATGGGTATATCGATAATGCAAGGAAGATGTTCGATGAAATGATGCAGTGGGGTGTTCGTTTGAGCACTCTGGGATTGGGCGTGTTCTTGTGGAAGTTTTGTGGTAATGGGGAAATTTCCGAGGTTCTGAGCGCGTTAGATGAAGTTAGGAGGCGTAATGCAGGGATTAACGGGTCAGTTATTGCCGTTTTGGTAGTTCATGGTCTTTGTCAAGCTTCAAGGGTATCAGAGGCTCTCTGGGTGCTGGACGAGCTGAGAAGTAGAAGCTGCAAACCTGATTTTATGGCGTATAGAATTGTTGCGGAAGCTTTTCGAGAAATGGGTGATGTGGTGCAGAAAGAGAGAGTTTTGAAGTTGAAGCGGAAGTTAGGAGTAGCTCCGAGGGCGAATGACTATAAAGAGTTTTTATTTACTCTGATTTCTGAAAGACTAATTAAGGAAGCCTCAGAGTTGGGTGAAGTCATCGTTAGTGGGGACTTTCCCCTGGAGGATGATATCCTCAATGCATTGATCGGAACAATCTCAGCTGATGATCCCCAATCAGCTATCGCCTTCTTTAGGTTCATGATTAAGAAGGGAAAGTTCCCGACCCTTTTGACATTGAGCAATTTGTGTAGGAACTTATGCAAGCACAACCAAACTGATGTACTGATGCAGGTGTATCAAGTCTTGGATTCTGGTGGTTATTTTGCTGATGCGGAGAGTTACACTGTGATGGTCTCATTTTTATGCAGGGCTGGAAAAGTAAGAGAAGCTTATGGAATCCTTCAGGTGATGAAGAAGAAAGGGTTGGGCCCAGATGTGGTTGGCTATAATTCTGTTCTGGAAGCATGTTGTCGGGAAGATCTTATACGTCCAGCAAAAAGGCTGTGGGATGAGATGTTTTCAAGTGGGTATTCTGGAGATTTTAGAACATATACTATCTTGATCAAGAAGTTCTCTGAAATAGGGCAAGTTGAAGAGGCGAGGAGGCTGTTTTACCACATGTTGGAGAAAGGGTTGGAACCAGATTCCTCAATCTACAAATCTCTCATAGAAGGGCTTTGTCAAGAAGCAAACTTTGAAGTTGCCTTTAATATTTTCGATAAGTGTATTGAACAGGATCCAACTCTTGCCAGTAGTGTCCTCAGTGCATTCATCCTGTGTCTCTGCAGAAAAGGTAAAGTTTTGACGAGCTCGGTAAATACTGAATTTGAGTATTCTTGATCTTATATAATTGCACCAACAGATAATGTCTTGGTTCTATGTCTTGACATGCTTGATGCAGGTGATTTTGTTACCGCTTCAAAGTTGCTCCAACGTTTCAATTGTGATGTGGGCAATTTAGACTCCCATGTCACTTTCCTGAAATACTTAAATGATGCGGACGAGGCGAGACTTGCCCTTGAACACATGAAATGGATTAGGGAAAACTCTTCTCTGATGATGAATCGTATTTCATCAGAACTTGTATTCCTAGTTTCTTCTGCGTCTAAATCGGAACCAATCTTGAACTGGCTTGACAGAATGCAAGCGAAGGAATTGCCTGCCGGTCAATAATACCTCTCTGTAGCGATATTAGCGATGTACCAATCTTGAACTGGCACGCTTGGACTCTCTTTTTTAATCTTTTTTTCCAAGGGATTAATGGCTTGCTGGTATTTCAGGGTCGTGGTATACAGCTTAAGGACATTCCCCATGGTATGTTTCCAGCTTTAATTGTTTCCTCATGGTTTATAGTGGGTCTGCCGCCTCTTTGCCCAGTACTTCTCTTGCGGGGAGTTACTTGCTATCTTAGTTTATATGCTCTTTTGAGTTGAACGGCACATGACCTTCGACTATCTCTGGGTTATTGTCTTGAATTTGTTTATGTTGCCCTGAATATTTGAATGTCTCAAGCTGTGTGGAGGCTGATTTATCCTGCAAAGATGGTTTTGCCACATTTTGCATTTTGTGTGGTGTCTCTGTTCCTTAAAAATCTTCATGCTAGATTGTAGTCTATATGCCTGGAGAATCTGCATCTTAGGCAACATCAAGCTTTATAGTCTAATTACTATTTGCCAAAAATTTGTGTTTGAATATTTGCTTATTGTCATATCCACAGTCACTTTGGCTGAAATCCAACCATCTTGTGGGTTGTAATGGCGAGAATAATCTACTGCCTGGCATTAGCTTCTGTTTATAAACTTTTTCTTGTTTGATTTTTGTTGAAAGTGCACAGCTAATGGTCCATCAATACAAGTAATTTGGGGAAGTATCGCCTTCGTGATCATGAACTCTCCATCACAATTTTTTGAGCATTTCTAGGGTTTGAATTAGCAAAGCAGAAATTGAGATTATTATCATCAGAGAAACAAATGTTAGAGTCAGCATTTGGCTAGGATGCATCGTTCTGTTCTCCATAACACCAAGCCACCAAATGCGTTACAAGGCCTTCGGGTTATGATAAGCTGATAAGGTTTTATGCAGACGCTAGTTACGAGAAAATTCTAATTACTAGTAGAACCAAAGCATGATTGTTGTTTTTTTCATAATGATTTGCATGTTGAACTTCATAGTTACCTGCTGGTATGATTTTCCCTATCTAGAATCACGAGCCTGTTGAAGTTCATGTTTCTCTGTTTATCACACACGGTAATGCTCATGTAATATGAATGTGAATGCTTACCTAATTATGCGCTGAACAATGATTGAATAGTCTCCAATTAAGATGTGGTATGGTAGAATAGTATTCTCTGAGCTTATGGATGTCATGGCCGTTATGGGCTTGATATATTATATGATACATCTTCCATCTGCCAGATTGTATGCTTCAAGTAACTTGGAAACTGAATGGTGATGATCCTTGTGTTAGATATTATATGTTAGTTAGTGACTGACAAACAACGGTTTTTTTTTTTCAAGGCTTAATTTCTGGGTCAATCCATATGAGGTTTCACGGGTATTACTTTTAAAGAGAAATATATTTCCATATTTTCTGTCCTAGCTGTTTATCGTAGGTCACCGTTCACCAGTACAATATATCTGTGCTAAAGATGTGCCTCTTTGGATAGGTAGAACTTTTATTTTCTACTTGTGTGTGTATCTTGGATTGAATTTTTGTGGATGGTTCTTGAGTTGGACACTGGCTATTTTATCATCTAATACTATCATGCAATAGGTCAGATAGGCACCAGTATAAAATTCTAATTGTAACCTGTGATCAGGGTTTATTTTTTATTTTAACTGCCCTTTTTTGTCAATGTTGGTCATCCTTGGTCTGGGTTCTTCTCTATATTCGTATATGTTGAGGGAAGGTTTGTCTGAGACTCCCTTTTTTACCTCCCTTATGTAATATGTTGTCATTGTTCAGAAGAAAGATTCAAGTTTTCTGTGGCCTTTGTTTTTGAGTGTTATTAGTGACAACTTGTTATTTTCATTTTGGTTGACTGTATCTATTTCTGAGCAGTAAACTTTTTTTAGCACGAATCCAGGTGCTCCACGGTAATCATATATCAGGACAAGTTCGTTTAACAAATACTCCCTCTGTGGAGATTAATGGCGATCACTTGCTTCAAGAGGTTATTAGAAGCAGAAGACGGACGAGAGGAACTGTCTTGGTATGTCAAATCTGGGGACTTCACCTGCAACCATTGACATGAAGCTACTTAAGTTGACATGGAGAAAGTTAGAAGGTTTGGCTGCTAGACTTGGTGGAGCCAAGAACATATTCTGTGAACTTTTTTCTGATAACAAGGCTGATAACGCCTTTTGGTTGGATAGTTCCTCAATTGAGAAAGTCTGTCTTGAAGAGGAAGAATGCAACTTTCAGTTTGGTTCTTTATTTTTATCATTCTCGTGGAAAATGTAGATGAATGTATTTCATTTTCATATTATTATAATATTTTGATGTTATTAAGTGCTTAATCAATGTTAAATATAAATTCCAAAAATTAATTTTGCTTTTAATTAGGTTTAAAATCAAAAAATAAAATAAATGATTTTATCGTACGATCACAAATTACAAAAGTTCAATGCAAAAATAAAATTTCGTCGCTAAACGATATTCGTAGGGGAGTTCGTCGCCAAAGAATTAATAAAAAATTGTCGCTAAATTCGATCATGAATAATGTTAATGGCAAAAGTAAAATTTTTTTATGGCAAATTAGCGACGAATTTTGCCACAAATAAGTTCGTCGTAAATTACTGACCAAATTTTTTTTTTTTTGCAAATTAGCGATAAATTTTGTGACGAATAATTAGCGACGAATTTTGCGACGGATAATTAGCGACGAAATGTGCGACTAAATTTGTGACGAAATTTGCGTCGATATTTGCGACGAATTTCGCGACTACATTTGGGACGAATAAAGTTCGTGGCTAATTTGCGACGAAATTTGCGACGAATTATTTGCGATGAATTTTGCGACGAATTTCGCGACGAATTTCGCGACGAAATTCGCGACGAAATTCGCGACGAATTTCGCGACGAAATTGGCGACGAAATTGGCGACGAATTGGCGACGAAATTTGCGACGAATTTTGCAACGGATAGTGTTCGTGGCTAATTTGCGACGAATTTTGCGACGAATTTTTGTCCGTCGCAAATTTGCGACCAATTTTGCGACGGATAGTGTTCGTGGCTAATTTGCGACGAATTATTTGCGACGAATTTTGCGACGAATTTTTCTCCGTCGCAAATTTGTGACGAAAATTGAAATTTTCCGTCGCAAAATTTTGCGACGACCTATTAGCGACGGAATTTTTTCCGTCGCTAAATTCGTTGCAAATTCGATTTGCGACGGATTTTTCCAAATTTTTCGTCGCAAAAATCGTGTTTTTTTGTAGTGGGTAATCAGTTTCATGATAGGTCGTTTCTTACCCTCGAACCAAGGACTAGGGCAGAGGGGGTTCCTAGTTTGTGGAACTAAGAATCGACCCACCTGATCTTGTTGAGGAAATCTCCTAATAGATTTTGATGTTGACAAGACTATCCATGTTAATCTTGTAAATCTGACATGTACTCTAAAGTATTTTGATCCAGATAGATATATTCTGGAAGTGGCAATTCTAAATCTGACATGTACTTTGAGATAACTAAACTTTCTGGAAAACCTCAGACTTTACGAGGTTCAGAAGGAAGACTTCAGACTTTATAAGATTCAGAACGAGAAGTTCAGACTCTACCATAAAAGTCACTCGGACTCTATTTTAAGTTGACAAAAAACTTCAGACCTTACTTATGAAAGGTTCAGATCTTACTAAAGATCCACACTGACTTAAGTTCTGAATGTAAAACAAGAACTAAAAGTTATTCAGACTCAGAAATTATTTAGAATAAAACATAACGGCTAGTGATCTGGCGTGGATTTTACAGAATGAAAGTTTTGATTGACTCAATCTAAGGCTAAAATTGATTGACAATCAAACATTATGGCAAATATATATCACAACGGATAAAGCTCTACTTATGGAAATCAAGATTATGGTTGTATGGGCGACCAGATTCAGCGGGATTTAGATTTTGTCAACCAACGGCTACTCAATCAATTTTATACAAATCTATCCAAGATGAAGATTGGAAGATGATCCTCTGAAAACTGTCCAACGGCTAGTTTGGAAGTAGAGGAGTATAAAAGGAGATTAACGAGAAGCAGAAGGTACCGAACAAAATCAAGAATCAACAAGTCCAAAGTCTGAGCATACTCCGATTCTACTACTTGTCTTTCCTGAGCAAAACACTGAGATCTTGACGGATATTTTGTAAGAGCGATTGTGTGAGATAAAGATTTCTATCATTCACTGAGTGATATCACTTAGAACTTGTAATCCTTTTTTATCACATAGTGAAATTTAGCCGGTAAGCTGTCAGCGTGGAGAGTGGACGTAGGCTTGATCTAATCCGAACCACTATAATTTTTTGTGTGCAGTTTCTCTATCCCTAAACTCTTATTATATCTTTTATACTGCACACTAGCACATTATCTATAAAGTCTGCTCAGAATCTGAATGTCTTTCAAACTTTAATCTTGATAATTTGTTTCTACTTTAAAAATTGATCAAAAGTTTTAGATCACATATTCATCCCCTCTTGATGATCCTTGCTAGTTACGTCAATTGGTATTAGAGTAGGTTGCTTGTTTATTAAAGTGTTTTTACTTCTAAGCTAACGATCTGAATGGCTAGCATGAGTGCTCCAAGTCTTATTGAAGGACAAAGCAATTCTAGACCACCATTTTTCGATAGCAAGAAATACAGTGTCTGGAAAAACAAGATGAAAGCATTCATCAAATCAGTTGATCACATACAGTGGGATGTTGTCATCAGAGGAGTTAATCCAAAGTCTTTTGCACCTGCATCTGATTCAAAAGAAAAGTTAGATGGAAGCAAATCAGAAGAAGTTCCATTATCTCAAACTGAGATATCAAAAAAAGAAACTTTAGATTCAAAAGCAATTTATTCTTTTTATTATGCTTTATCACCTATTGAGTATAAGAAAATTGGTTCTTGTGAATCAGCAAAGGACATCTGAGACACCCTCTACACTACACTACATATGAAGGAACAGATCAAGTCAAGGAAACTTAGATCAATCTGTTGCTTGGACAATATGAATCTTTCATAATGAAGACAGGAGAATCAATTGCAGATATGTATGACAGATTTACTGATATAGTAAATGATCTTGTATATCAAGGACAACCTGTGACATCCTCAAATTCGACCCTATTCAGGATGTAATGAAATAATGATTTTAATCGATGCACTGTTAGTAATTCTCGCTCTGAATTGATCACTCATGAGAGACTGACTGATAGGGAAAGGCTGTTAAGGAATTAAGTACGCACGACCTGAGAACTCGATCAGGGATTGACAATTCGACCAAAAGGATTGACGAGGGACAATTTTGAGCCATTATAGACCGATCAAGGGATGGTTATAGAACGATTCGCCAATAGCATACAATCGGATCGTGGGTGATTCCGCTTGACCGTTGTATGTATTGCGAACGATCCTAAACCCATTGACTGATGATCGCGTACTTCGGAACTAGTGATTGACCCCTCGCAATTACATGACAATCGAGACCATCCATGGTTCGAGAAAACTTAAACGTGGTTTGATATCGAATCAACCACGGGTCGTATACGCGTAACTCCTAAAAGCCGCCCGTTAGTTTGAGATATACTAAAGTCGCAATTGATTGATTTTTACCACAAAATTGAATCCGAATTTGGGTGTCGAATCTTCAAGGATTTCAAGACTAAAATGTTAGACATCGCCTCATTGATTTATTTGTTTAACGGTTTACTCGAAATTTTCAGAAAAGGAATTAGCGGGCCGAGAATTCGAGCCCACGAGAAAGTGGGCCGGACGAAGGCAATTGGGCCTCAAGCCCAATGTGATTCGGCCATTTGGGCCCAAGGCTAGCCCAAGTGGGCCAATGAGGCCCATTAAGCCCAAATTTGATTATACGAGCCCGTACGAAATTCTAGCTCGTATACGCATATAAATATTTTTATACATTGTGAAATTACCAAATTACCCTTCTTGCTTTTAAGACAAAGAAACAAAAGCATTTAAGAGAGAGGACTTTTGTGCATTTTTGGATCATGAAAGAAGACTTTGAGACATGCTTTAATGTGAGAAAATATCTCTCATTTCTCTCTCTCTTCCCCCCCCCCCCCCCAACTGGCCACTCTCTCTCTCTCTTTCCTTCCCCCCTCAGTCGCGTCCAACTCTCCCTCCTTTTTCTTTGGTTCGGCTGAAGCAGCAAGAACAGCCCCTTGGCTGCTATTTTTGCTGCCGTGGAGCCAACTGTCGAGCACTGTGACAAGCCGTGACCGCCCCGGAGCCGAACGCCGCTCATCCAAGCCATTTCCGCCGTTAACCGAGCCTCGCCGAGGCAAAACAGCCGCCCCAAAGTTGCTGTCCAGCCGAGACCCAGCCACCGTCGTTGTTCCGTGTTGTTTTCGGACCGTGCAACACGTAGCCCTCGCCGCCGCCGTCGCGCTCATGTCGTCGGATTCGCTAACGAGTGAGTTATCGCCCTAATCCCTTGCCTAGTATGTTAAACTTGATTAGAACGGATTAGTTTAAGTCAATTATGTTTAGTGTTAATTAATTAGGAATTAGTTGTTAAGCTATTGGAATATTATATTAATTTTCGGGAATTAAATAATAATATTTTATTAATTTTCGGAATTAAAAATATTATTATTTTATTAATATTTTTGTGTAAATTCCGAAATTAAATTGTGTTTATTTTAGGATTAAATTGTGATGCCTAAGCTATGATTTTCCTTATATATTGATTTGTATGCCAAATTGAATTGTTTGGTTATGGTGAAATATAGAATTACGGGTATTTAATTAATAAATCCTGAGGTGTTGGGTTTATTTGCTGAGTTTTATGAGATAAATATGTTGTGGATGATTGAATATGGAAGTATGGCAAGTTTGGCGATTCAATAAAATGTGCATGATCACGTGTGATTATTTTGGTGCATTTTTACGTGTGGAAGTTGCAATATTTCAACGTATTAGAACGGATCATGTTTGCATTATCTATTGAAAATTATAATGATGGAACCTGAGTGTTGCTATGTGTGCATGATCACCTAAAGGTTCCTTTCATGCCCGGTTATACCGGAAAACCGTATACCGAATGACCGCCAACCTAGGATTTGGCCGTGGCCCTAACGGGTGTCCCCAATTTGGTAATTAGAAGCCGTCGCTGGTAGCAGGGGAGACGTAGTCATTCGTGAATCGGATTTGGAATGAGCCCATTTATGGGATATACCGTCATTG